AAATTCTTAGAATAAAACACAAGTATAACCAAACTAATATTCTCATCAACAATTCAAAAATTCATTCTTATAAACTCATTAATTTTTCAAAATTTTGTGTTTTCATTTAACGAATAAAAACACTATATTACAATAGCAACTCTTTTAGGAAACATAAAAGGGAAGTGTCTTTGACATGCCTTGCTCGCCTCAACAAAGCAGAGATTCCTCTTTTGTTGCTTGGTTAACATTTTCTTTGAAGCTTTAGATAAATTGAAGAGAGATGCACGCTTTTGGACTTTCATTTATATCATGCTTGGTTTAATCAATTTGGTGGTCATTCCAGTCCAGAACTATTTCTTCTAGATTGCTGGAAGAAAACTGATCAAACGCATCCGAGTGATGTCGTTTGATAAAGTCTTGCATCAAGAAATTAACTGGTTTGATGATAAAGCCAATACCAGGTATGCAATTGCCACAATTCTAAATCATTAAATGAACCGAAAACATTGTTGTTCTTCTTCTTCCGAAATTATTATTATTTGATTAAAACATAAGTTTTATAATAGTTTGGATAGAAAGTTATAATAACGAGTAAAGAAAAATCTCGTATTAAGAATTTTATATATCGTAATCTCTAGAGCTCCTAAATTTAGGAACTAAAATGTGTACATATGTTAGGCTTGACATAATATTCATGAACATATAATTTCTATTGTTTTATCATTTTTGTATATTTGTTGAATGTTTTGCTTATGTTTTGCTCATGTTTTGCTTATATTTTGCTTATATTTTGCTTAAATTTTATCGTTTTTTTAGGAATCTGTATCGTCCAAGATATACTTAGCAAGGCATTATTAAGATCTATAGATAGCAAAGAGAGCTAACATGTTACAGTTTATATAAAAAGTAATAATTATATATATAAAACATAAAGTAGATATTTCATCTTGAAAAAAAAACCATCATTACAAAACATAAAGTAGATATTTTAGATCTAATACTAGATCCTGACCCGCACATACGTGCGGGATTTCATATTTTAAAAAATGTGTTGTAATAAATCTTTATTAAATATATGATTATTTTGTTGTTTTAGTGATATATATTGTATTGAATAAATTATAATGTATACAGAAAAGTATAAAATGTTATTTATGTTTGCTTATGACACAATAACAACCATAAGTCATTTTTTGGAGTTTGAAATTGAAGAGTAGATTAGAAAAAAATCTTACATTGAAATATAATATATGTTAGATTGATGTAAAAAAAAATATTATATAGTTATAGTATCTATAACCTAAACTCACATCAGTTGGTTGAAATATTTGAAATAATAATAATTTTAATAGTATTTTAAAATTCGTAACAATCAAACGGTCGGACCAAGATCAAACTGAATCGAATTAATGGTCAGGTAGATTTTTATTAAACTTGTAAACTATCAAACCGTATATAAAACCGTTAAAATGATTAAATACGTTTGCGAGAAATAGAAATATTTAGAGATGGGCGTAATTCCCATTCAATTTTATCATTTTCCATTATATCTTACCTGTTCTCCAATTTATGTCTCATAAGATAACGCATTTCTAATATAAGACAAATTTTATATTCCCGATTAGAAACAGGACGTGATAGAAACAAAAATTCTCGACATCCTGTTTGGGACAAACACAAATATAATTTATAGTATATTTTTATATGATATGATATAATAAAAAAGTTAGATTGATGTTAAAAAAATTATTTATATAGTTATAGTATCTATAACCAAAACTCATATTAGTTGGTTGAAATATTTGAAATAATAATGATTTTAGTAGTATTTTAAAATTCGTAACAATCAAACGGTCGGACCGAGATCAATATGAATCGAGTTAATGGTCAGATAGATTTTTATTAAACTTGTGAACATTAAACTTGTAAACTATCAAACCGTAGATAAAACCGTAAAAATGATTAAATACGTTTGCGAGAAATAAAAATATTTAGAGATAGGCGTAATTCTCATTCAACTTTATCATGTTCCATTATATCTTACCCGTTCTCCAATTTATATCTCATAAGAGAATGCATTTCTAATATAAAACAAATTTTGTATTTCCGATTAGAAACAGGACGTGACGGAAACAAAAATTCTCGATATCTTGTTTGGGACAAACACAAATATAATTCATAGTATATTTTATATGATGATATAATAAAAATATTACAAAATTAATTGACTTCTTTATTTTATTGTTTTATATTTTGTTCACAAATATTAAATTACATTTGTTGGTTTTTTAAATTTTAACTATTATAGAACATACTATAATAACATTTATTATTTTGAACATTTTTATGCTATATAAATTGAAAACACATGTTACATATTTGATTGCAAACGTTAATTTGTTTGAATTGTAACTTGTTCTAATATAAAATCTATGTTTTTATCCCGTCCTGTCTCCTTCCATGTCGTTCCTATTTCGTAATTCCTATTCTCGTTATATTACATTAAATATCATTTTCCGAGTTCATTTTTGCTTATTTTTAAACATCATACAATATACGGTTGTAAGTTTTGGGGATTAACATATGTTCTGTTAAAATTTGTAAACATACCGTAAATTAAAACATGAAAACAAATTGAAAAAATAAATGATCTATCAACTAATCTCAACAAAATCATAAAACTAAGAGATAGTTTAATGTGAATAAATTTAGAGAATCATTTTGAATTAATTGTAAAAACTGTGTGAATTAAAAAGTAGCTTGTAATTAGTTAAATTAGTCATCTTGATTTGAATTCAGTAGTTCCTTAAATTTAATATTTCTCATTTTGAAATATTTGCATTAAAAATTAAAACATTTGTATTTAAATTTATTTTAATGTTATTTGAAAAAGAAAATAATCAATTCTAGAAGAATGTGTATTCCAAAATCTTGTAACAATTTGATACAAAATAAAATAATTTATTTGATTTGAAATTGAATAATATATTTGGAGATATAGTAACTATTATAGTACGTTTTAAAAATATATTAAAAATTTAGGTTAGTTATATATATTTAAAATAATGAAAACTACCCATTTTAAAAATATATATTTAAAAATTTTATATCATTTAAACTCTAATTAAATTTTAAATATTTTAATCTATCTTGGAAATATTTTCTAGATATTTACAAATTTAGAATCCAAAAAATTAGTTTTTCAATAAGCTGTATTTCAAAGGATGGAAGTATTTTGTTAAGATTATATACGACAAATATAATAAATGTTTTTTCATATTTGGAAAATCAAAATTGAAAAATCTTTTTTCCATGTGTACCAATCAGAATTTATTAGCATAGTATTGTTAAGAAAAATTTTAAAAATCTAAACGACATGATAATTTGTTTTAGATTAGATTACCATTTTCGAAAATATCTAATAATATCTTACGAAAATAATTTAGTTTACATATATGCAATTTCGAATTAAATATACACAATTACCCGTTTCGGTTTATTAATTTTCCTTCTTCAAATTTAAAAATATCGATGGCATTCCCAATTAATAGTATAAATCTACACTATTAATATCATAAACTTTTATAGATTGGTAACATCGTTGATAAATATTTCTCGTTGCAAAATTGATAATATCGTTGATAAATATTTATAATTTTAGTATTTACCAACCCGTAAATATTTAATTTTATTTAAAAACATATTATTTCTATTATTAATTTAGTTTAGTTGCTAATAATTTAACGTTTACATCTATACTATTAATTGTTTACATATTACGATTTAACAAAAACAAAATATTGTATGGAATGTATGTCGCATATTTTTTTTGGCTATGTACTTAATTTGATATATTTGGTAAATGAGAAAATATTGGATTATATTTATAACATAAATATTATTACTTAGATTTTATTGTTAAAATATTTTGTATTTTTCAGTTAATGACATTGGATTTATGTTGAATTTTTTTGTTTTATCTCTAACAAATTGAAAAATACAAAATATTTTGATTTATATTCGAAATAAATATATTGATGCTGAATATTCAGTTATTATTTAATATTTAATGTTGTTTCTTTTTTTTGTTTTTGTAGAGAAATCGTACCAAAAATATTGACGAAGCAAATCTCGGAATATATTGGATCATTTAATCTCGTTATTTGTTTTTGCAAAAAATTAATGAAGGATCCGAATCAAATATATTTATTTAGTTGTAGTAGTTGTTTATTTACTAAATTACCCATGTAAAAATTCATTTAGTTAGTCTTAAACTACCCTCACAATGTTGTAGTTCACAAAATGCTTCCCAATTAATAGTATAGATTGATTTTTGTGTTTAACTTTGACTTGTGATATTATTTTACTAACACAATAGGTTTTCTTCTTTCTTAATTTTATTTATTATATTAAAATGTAATATTTAACTTTGATAAATAGTAAACTTTAGCTTAATTTTTTTGTGTAAAATAAAATTGACTACTATCTGATTTACAAATAGTCGACCACGTAAACTTTTGACTAGAAAAGATATAAGTGAAGTTTATTGATATAGGTTCAACGGACACTGCTGATTGAAAGTTAACTCCGTTATCATCTTATTAAATAGTATTTTAACGTTATGTCCGAAATGGCCAAATCAACAAAATTTGGTAATTTATCAACAAGTCAAACCAAACATCAAGATTTAAATGACATTTCGAAAGTCTATGTTTTTCCGATATTTTTCCTTCTTAAAATTACTCACAGAAAAACAGATGCTCTGGGTTAGATAATACATTTGTAAAACTTTGGGCCGAATCAAGGATTTTTATAAACTTACGGGGTTATAGTTTGTTACTTCAAAATTGTAATGTTTTTGAATTTTTAATATTTTTTGTTTTTTCGTTAAGACTTTTTTTTTTTTTGGTTGTTGTCGTCAAATCTCTTCGTCTTTCTCAGGCTAGCATCGCTTACGGGAACAGGCGAGTAAAAATTTGAAACTGATTCTCCCCATAGCCAAAGAATATACAGGTCAGGTCGATTAGGGTTCTTCCCTTCTACAGATCCGATTGTTCCCTGAGACAGATCACAGATCTCTCTCTATCTTCGTTGGTAATCATTTCTTGTCTTTTGTTCTGTATCCCCTGAGATTCATCGATCTTTGCTTCACTTTTCTGATTGCAACTTGTGATGTTGGAATCTAATATGTTGAATTTCAGATTCCAAGGAAGTGAAACAAGTTTCAGGTGTAATCACCGTTTTCATGTTCTGCGTTTGAGGAATCCTAAGTCTCTCCTCATTGTGAGTTTCCTTTTGATTACATCTGAAAACTCTGTAATCGGTGCCATCTTTCGATTTTGATTTTGATTCTGGTTTTGTTTTGGATGAAGAGTTGTTGTTATATACAGATCTCCCAAGTTGGCTCCTCAAAGAAGATCACAGCGCCACATGGGCGGCCAAATGCAGCAGACTAATGCTGCGGCTGCGACGGCGCTGTATGAAAATGCAGGACCTACAAATGAGGCTGGCGATGCTGTTATGGCTCGGTGGCTCCAGTCTGCTGGTTTGCAGCATCTGGCGTCACCAGTTGCTTCTACAGGCATTGATCAGCGTCATCTCCCAAACCTGCTCATGCAGGTACTAACTCCTTCAGACTCTTCAATGCTTTTATATGTCTGTTGTCTATGTTTTGATAGGGTTTGTTAATTATGGCCAATTCTTAGTTCATTATGTATGTGCAGCCTATATATTTCTTAGCCAGAAAAGTTTTGAATTCATAATTTGCTATAGCCTACAGATGTGTAGAAGTAGGATTGTGTCTATGTTATGGATATTATAATTTTGTAGCAAGTCAATTGGATTCTATATATGAGATCAGTTAGTTGGTAATCTTTCTCTTTTCATAGGGCACCTTCTGGTGTTTAATGTCTTTATGATGTCTATGGTATTGCTTAGGGTTATGGAGCACAAACTGCTGAAGAGAAGCAAAGACTTTTCAAATTAATGAGAAATCTTAATTTTAATGGGGAATCGACTTCTGAGCCGTATACACCCACTGGTCAAACATCAGCAGCTTTGCCCTCGTCGGATGGATTTTATTCAGCTGAATTCAGAGGTGACTTTGGAGCTGGATTGCTAGATCTTCATGCAATGGATGACACGGAGCTGCTATCCGAGGTATGTTTGCAAGGGTATTTAGATTAAAGAAGGTTTTACCTGTTTATAAACAAAATGGTAAAAGCTCCATGTCAATTATTAAAACTGTATTTGTCAACATCCGTTACAATCTTATATTGAATTTTATATTGCCGCACACCTACTGTACTGTTTGCCACCCATATAATCATCTTTCAGACATAATAGACATAGCGGCTTTTGATATTGATACCTGAACACTGCTGTTAGTCAACATAATCGTTACAGTTTTGAATGTGCAAGCAAATCATTAAATCATAGAAGCTTGCAAATTTAAGGAGTTGAGATTGTGCTAGCTTTGGTCTGTTGAAAAGTTTTTTTTGGGTAAATTGTTGTTTACAGTTTCTTCTGCTAACCATAATGGTTTCATTGTTACAGTTATCAATTTCATTGCTTGTTCAAACTCAAAATTTCATTCATGTTGCAGCATATGATTTCTGAACCCTTTGAGCCATCACCTTTCATGCCGAGTGTCAATCAAGCATTTGAAGAAGAGTTTAATGTGCCAGTTAACCGGAAACAGCTACAAGAGCAGGATGCTGAACCTTCGAGCTCATTTCCCAGGAGTGAAAAAGAAAGTAGTGGAAGAGAGAACAATGTAGCCAAAATTAAAGTAGTGGTATGACATTTGTTTTGATCCGAACCTGGTTTTTTTTATTGTGGTTGAAATTTCAAGCAATGGCTGTTATTATCGGAGAGCTATATGTTTTTGTATTAATTATTTCAGGTAAGGAAGAGACCCCTGAATAAAAAGGAAACTGCCAAAAAGGAAGACGATATCGTGACTGTATCTAATAATTCTTTGACTGTTCATGAAACCAAGTTGAAGGTTCGTGTGTGTGCTTCAATAAAGATACCGATGACATCCATGATTCGGTTCACGATAATTAAAGGTCATTGACCCTCTTCATTTTAGATTGCTTTTTCAGATATTGAATAAAACTTAATCTTTGTTGGTGCAGGTGGATTTGACTGCTTATATGGAAAGGCATGAGTTTTGCTTTGATGCTGTTCTGGATGAGCATGTTTCAAATGACGAGGTAATTTAATAGTGTTAAGGAATTGAAGTCTACTGACAATCCTAGCGGGAGGGCTTTATAAGAAATCAACTTTGTGAACTTTAAGTTATAGCCGCTTTTGCTAGTTTAAGTTCTGTGTTAGAGTTTACTCTCTGTTTTTAAAGTTAATTGTTGTTCCTTTGATTAGGTGTATCGGGCCACTATAGAGCCAATTATTCCCACCATTTTCCAGAGAACCAAAGCGACCTGTTTTGCATATGGTCAAACAGGTACATAATGGTACTTTTGTTCATGGGAATTATTTGTTAAGGCGAACCTTATTGTGATAGTTATATTATCCTTAATGCGTTACTCTCTAAGATTATCTTTATGGTTTGGTGCCCCTGATAATGTTCTGCTTTAATTAGGTAGCGGTAAGACTTTCACAATGAAACCACTGCCTATACGGGCTGTTCAAGATCTTATGAGGATGTTGAATCAACCAGTATATCGTGATCAGAGGCTTAAGTTGTGGCTCAGTTATTTTGAGATATATGGTGGAAAGTTGTATGATCTTCTCTCCGAGAGAAGGTTAGTGCTCCTTGTTCTCTTCTCATATCTTTTCAATGTCACATTTGGTGTTATGCGTTCTAATAGATATTTCTCTTTTTCCCAGTCTCCATAATGTTTGTTACTGTTTGTTTGTATGACAAATGTATGTGTACAGTTGGCTGACTAATTCTGTTGTTGTTGCCGAGTAGGAAACTTTGTATGCGAGAAGATGGTAGACAACAAGTTTGCATTGTTGGCCTGCAAGAGTATGAAGTCTCGGATGTTCAAATTGTAAAGGATTTTATTGAAAAAGGGAATGCTTCAAGGAGCACAGGATCAACTGGCGCCAATGAGGAATCATCTAGATCACATGCTATTTTGCAGCTTGTTGTCAAGAAGCATGTGGAAGTAAAAGAAACTAGACGAAGTAATAACGATAGTAATGAATCACGAGGGAAAGTTGTTGGGAAGATTTCTTTCATCGATCTTGCTGGCAGTGAAAGAGGTGCAGACACCACAGACAATGACCGCCAGACAAGGTAAGGTCATGTTTGTCCTCTGGTAAAAGAGTTTTGAGTATTGAACACCCCATTTATCTAGAATCGTTGTTTTAATGGGATTGTTTGGCCTCATGTATAATGTTGTCCTACAAATAATATCCCAATGGCATTAGAATTCTACCTTCTTCCTTCAGAACTATATAAACTATTTGCATTTTGACGCTGGTTTTTTGTAGGATTGAAGGTGCAGAAATCAATAAGAGTCTCTTAGCTCTCAAAGAATGTATCCGTGCACTGGACAATGACCAGCTACATATTCCCTTCCGTGGAAGCAAGCTAACTGAAGTGCTCCGCGACTCATTTGTTGGAAACTCAAGAACTGTGATGATTTCATGCATTTCTCCAAATGAAGGATCATGTGAACATACCCTTAATACATTAAGATACGCCGATCGGTACGTTCTGATGAGCTAAAAACTTTTCTTAAACTAAGTCTCGGTTTCATCTACTTAACTCATGTCTGCAATTTATTGATTCAAACAGGGTTAAAAGTCTATCTAAAAGTGGGAATAGCAAGAAGGATCAAACTTCCAATTTGTTGCCTCCAGCTAATAAGGATGTTTCTTTGGCTTCCTCTCAACTGGCTTCAAATGATGTAGAAGATGTCTTTGAGCCTCCACAAGAACCTAATGTACAGGAAACAGGGAGGAGGGTAGAGAAAGACAGCTACTCTACTTCGGGTATTGAATTCAAGCAGCCTACGCATTACCCTTCTTCATATCCGGTCAACTTTAGAGAGGAAAGTGGCATACCATCGATATCAATGGACAAAGGAAGACCAGATACGAGTAATTCTTTTGGCGGCTCCACTAGTCAAAGGATTCACTCATCTTCTTACTCTCAAGACAGTTCAGATCAGGAAGAAAAAGTGAAGAAGGTATCACCCCCTCGTAGGAAAGTTTCCCGGGAGGAAAAACCTGAAAGAACTCAAAACTGGTCAAAAAGAGATGTCGTCAGTGCATCTGATGTCCCTGCCACGACAAACTCTAGACAGCATAATATTGCTAGCAGTCAGAACACAAACGATACAGCTTCAAGGCAATATGAAACAACAGCTTCAAGGCAGTATGAAACAACGGAGCCTTCTCTTGATGAAAACATCGATGCATTGCTTGAGGTAAAGAGCCATTTAACCCTTCTACTTCTAAACCATGCTACGAGCGTGAGGGAATTTTACGAATTTCAGTCACGAATAGTCTTACAAACCTGTACTATGGTAATTATATTGTTTAATCTCTGGCAGGAGGAAGAGGCCTTAATTACAGCGCACAGAAAAGAGATCGAGGATACAATGGAAATAGTTCGTGAGGTAGTAGAAGTCATTTACCTGCTTGTTATTGGCTTATAGTGTCTTGTATTTGTTTTAACATTATTTAAGGTTTTTTTTTCAGGAAATGAAATTACTAGCAGAGGTGGATCGGCCAGGGAGCATGATTGACAACTATGTTACACAACTGAGTTTTGTGTTGTCCCGTAAAGCAGCTGGTCTTGTAAGTCTGCAAGCTCGTCTTGCGCGGTTCCAACACCGTCTGAAAGAACAAGAGATACTTAGCCGGAAGAGAGTTCCGCGCTAGGAAAGGCAATGGAAGTTAGTTTGCGTTCCAGTCAGGTGATCTTTTATTCTAATACACACAAATCTTCCTTCCTCTCGTGTTTTATGAATTGGGGAATTTGTTTTTGTTTTTGGGAGGGGGTGGTTTTTAATTTGTCAATTTTACATTTGGGAGGGTTTTTGTTTTTCTGAGTCCTTGTCAACATTTGTATTCAAATGTCTTTTGCAACTTATTGATAATGAAATGTGAATTGTGAAGTTCTTTACTGCCATAAACTCTAACTTAAACCGCAGTTTGTTGTATACTTGTAACACATTCGTGTATGTATGTATTGGGGAAATTGTGCAGAACATTTGTATATCGAAAACATTTGCTTTCAAGAATTTATCTGCTATAATAATAGTTGATTGTGAATTTGTGATGAATGGAATTGGCTATGGAACTGAGGAAAATAAATTGAACAGTAGAAAAAGAAAAAATGGACCAGTTTTGGATAAAGGTTTTCGACAATTTATATATCTTCAGTTAGACTAACCAACATAAATTAAACACGCTTCATCTACATTTTAAAACAAAAAAAAGAAAATACAATAAAAGGAGCTAAGAGCTCTGGGCTTGACTCAGTGTTTACCTCTGCTATTGAAGTTGAGTGCTTCACTGCCTAAAAGAAGTGGGATTTAAAGTTCGAACAGATAAACAATGCCAAGCAAAAATAGCATTCCTAAAAGCTGAAAATACATTAATTAGGCAACTTCAATCAGCTCGTAGTCTCAGAATCTCTTTAGCTGTTCTGAGTCGGAAGTATGGCATGTGTTCCTGCACCAAAGTAATACAATGTTATTACGCCAAATCCTACAACTTACTAAGGATATAAACTGCTAGGGGACTATACTAATTTCATATTGATTCAAGACAACCAGTTTCTTGAGGCATTTAGGGATCTGGATTTCTGATAGCTTACCTGGCTGAAACATAGCCCCAGGCCTCTACTGAAAAAATCGATGTACTTAAGCATAAACATTCCACAGTCATACCTGAGAATATAAAAATTGCAACAAAGAAAAAAGATAAGAGTTAGCAGAGAGCTTAACCAGAGAGCTAAAGAGCGTAAGCACATACGATTATAAATTAACAGAAGAAACTTGTATAACAATATGCTTTAATTCAACACCACACCATCTTGACTGAAGAAAATGATATTTGGAATTTATGAAAAACATTAGTTTTCCGGTAAACAGTTAAGTTACACTTGTTGATTCCATAATCAAAATTCATATCAGGTGAATTTCTCCTAATCAATCTCAAACCAGATCTATCATTTATCTTTAAAAAAAACATATTCCACATCAGAAGACAAGTTTTTGATCATCCAGAAGTTTTTTTTCCTAACAAGATACCTCTCACATGATCATGATCATAGCAAGTTCAAAAACAGTTACGTACCCATTCATTTGTTGGGGAAGGTCTTCAACAAATTCCATCTCCCACGAATTAACTTCAATGTTTTTTCCACTTTTTTCCTTCGCTTCGTCGCCCATGTATTTTGCCTGAAGCACAATATCAGATCTGGCATTAGCTATAACGACTAGTATGTATGGCTGACATTTTCACAGTAGTGTCCAATTTAAAAAAGCAATAGCAGCTTTTGGCATCTCCAAAATGTCTCCAGACAGATTTTAGAATCAAGAAATGATGATAAAGATAAATCAGCATCAGATATCTTTAATGAATCCAATATGTCAGTTATTAAGACTACATAAAGAGGATAAGAGTTTGGAAATTAAGTTATACCAGAGCATTCAAAATCATAGGATCAACTCCATTCAGTGAATCAAGATACAAGAGCTTGCTTTCTCTGTTGTTAATTACTGCCAAGGTCCAATGTACACCCCTGTGGATGGGAACAAATATCTGCAGAGGGCAGGAACTGATTTAAACATAGAAATATTGGATAACATCTGTAAAATTAACAAAAGAGAATCTTAAAATTCAGGTTCTTCAACAAAATTACCATGTCACAATCAATAAGAGCATATCCCAACTTTCTCTGCGTAGTCCATCTCCTGACAGCTTTAAAATTATAACCAGAATCGCTCACCAGCTGAAAAGTAATTAAACAAAGACAAATATAAGTGCCAGAGGATTCATTAACATATAAAAAGGCCACAGCTTGTCATGGTTACTCACTGCCATTCATGGGATACAGAAGCCAGAGACAACTGAGTACCATGGGGAGAAACAAGGCCAAAATATATCAATGATCTTATCAAAGAGATCACTTAAACTGTTAAACATACTGCTTATCATTTTTATGGAAGCAAGTAGCAGCTACGCAGTCGAACTGACATGAGGCAAAAAGGATCAATATTTTTTCTTAAAAATCGTCTGAGCAGAAAGAAAACAAACCTTTTTGTAGAAAAATGTATTGAAGTAATGACACTTCAAATACTTTTTGGGCTCTCTGGTTTCTCTTTCTTTGAGTAGTTCAAGGTAGACATTGATAACCTAAAAAACAAAGTAAGAACTCAGCAAAAGAAAATGTGATTTAAGAGCTCTTAATTATGTAGAATATTATGGAACATGTTGTAACCTCGTCGTTTAGCCATGAGGATGGTGTAAGGCATTGTAGAACTTCTCCAGTAATATCAATGTTTGAGTTTTCATGAGTGGCCAAGACCTTCCTTCTGAAAAATGGGAAACATTTGGTTTTTGGTTAGACTCAAATAATCACTCAACATGCTAGAGCGTCTTAAAAAAACATACCTATTTCTCCCAGAAAAGGCACGGTTGACTTCAGCCTCTTCGTCTTCGGTGAGAGGTATAAAAGGTTCACGAGGCACCTTCATTAGATCAACAACACAACAAACATAGTGTTAACAACAACAAAAACATAGAAACACGGTAAGGATCACAAAGCTAAGATTGCAATACACTCTCATAAGTAGAAGAACTTTGACTGTGTGAGCATAAGCAATAATTGCAGCTTAATAACCAATAAAGCCAACAAGCATTGTACTATTTTCAGTCTACACTTACAAATCAGTAGGCGATAACATCATATGCATTTTCAAGAAACAATCCAAATAAAGCAATGTCATTAATATATATCCAATTCGAGAAAGATTAGCATCAATCGTATCACCTCAACACGTTTTTCCACAGGCTTCGGGCGAGACTGACGAAGCTGTGACAACCGCTTCTCATTCAACACAATCTCAAAACCCAAAGCTTCCAATTTCGAATTCCTCCTCTCCGCACTTTGCATAAGCTTTCTATAAGCTTCAAGGCTCGAAGCATCACTCACATCTCTATCTAAAGACAACGAATCCAGCATCATACTAGTATCCTCAACTCTAAAGTTATCTCCTTTCTTAACATCCGTAACACCAGAAGAAAAAGAAAGCTGATTCTTCTTCTTCTTCTTCTCCCCAACCAAATCTTCCTCATCATCATCACAATCAACAACTACAATCTCTTCAACACTTGAATCATCAGAAACAACAGCTTCTTTTTCAACCTCATCACTCAAACCAACAAACTCTTTATCTTTCTTAACAAATCTCAAAGCTTCCAAAGCTGATCTCTTTGCATCATCATACTTACGAACAAAGAAATTTCCGTCCTTTTCGCAGTAATCATTAGATTTAGCTTTACCATATCTAAGAATGCCTCTACTAGGAGCATGAATTTCTCGTCTAAGAGGAGCTTTAGCATCAGGGTACCTTGAAATCCTCGAAATTGTAGGGTTTGAAGACGAAGAAGCTGGCTTACCTGAATCTTCAGACATAGCGAATGAGAATCTTCGTTTCTTGGAAGCTTGGAAATACGGTGAATTTCGTAAAGGGTTGGTTGATTGTTGATTGAAATTGAAGGATTCGTCGCTGCGTTTACGATTGATCGCTACGGCACCCATTAGGGTATGAATTTGGGTAAATCACTAAACCCTAGAGATTGGGGAACCAATGAAATGAGAATCATAAGAGAGAGATATTGAAAGTTAGAACGTGAAATTAGGGTTCTGTAGAAGAAAAAAAGCTCAATGATGAAAAAAATTTGGTTTCTCTTTCCTTTTAAATTTAGGGGTGTTCGTTTTCTCCAAAATTTATTTCTTACATGTAGAAACAGCCGTTAAAAAATAAATAAAATTTGAAAAAAAAATGAGTAAATTAGGTTATTATACTAGTACTAAATTAGAAAATTTATGAAAATCAAAATTAAATTTGTTCCTTAAAATTAAAATATGGTGGGGATCATAATATTCTTGGTACTCTTCTATACGATATGGGCTGTGGAAGCTACCACGTTTATCTTTCGGACATGTCAATCGTCAAAGAAATGTTGCAGCGGATGCACTATTCCAATTAACCTTTGTTATAGATTTTGGTTTTCTTTTCCAAATATTTATTTAATAGTACTATTTAAGATTTTGAGAACTAATGTAGTACTATTGTGTGGACGATTTACCATATTATATGAAGAGTGAGAAAGCACAGGCAGATCCGAAGAGGGATTGTCATATAATGTGCAAGGTGCACTTGAAGAGGTAGAGTACATATATAAGTTCCATCCAAATATCAAAATAATAAATAGATGCTGTCGTAGACATTAACATTCTTTTTAACAAGCAGTTCAAGATATACGTAAGATCCAACTTTTGCTTTACCAAGTGGGAACAAGAAGACGTAGTGCCTACATTTAATGAGTATTTGGAGATTGGGGGAGTCCAAGTAACAATGTATGTAAGTATAGCATGCAGTTTTTTGGGGTTGGGACAAATTTTTAGGGAACAAGGTTATAAATGACTAAAATCTAGACCAAACTTCGTTGAGGCTTAAGCTAAAAAGGCTCGTCTGATGAAAGACATGGCCGGCTTTGAGGTAACAAAAATTAGTTGATCAAGTGTTTCTTTTTGTTTTGTTAGTGATCAAGACATTGTGTTAAATTTGATTAGTAATGCATATGGTATATAACAGAGTGACATGAGCAGAGGGTTTGATGTTAATGCCATCGAGTACTATATAAAGCAATACAAATTAACCAAGGAGGAAACGTTTATAAAACTTGAAAAAATGGTTAGGGACTTGGATAAAACTATAAACGAGGAGATATTGAAGACAACAAAGAGTGTGCCGCGGGAAATCGTTAAGCGAGCCATTTGATTTTGGGAAAATGATAGAGTTTACTTATAGGTCTGGCGAAGAATACACACATCCCGAAGGAAGATTTAAGGATCATATCACATCTTTGTTTGTCAATCTTATTCGTCTTTGAAACAATAATTAGTATTTGGTAATAAATTCAGCTGTTATATACCTATCTTTTTATGTTAATTGAAGAAGAAAATTTGTAGAGAACTAATGAAATTCATGTCTCCCACAAATTAGCGGAATTCACATCATTTGCCTCTACAGATTTATAACGGCTATGTTTAAAAATTATATTCAAATTTTACATAGAAGATTATATTTAA